AAGAAGCTTTTGTGTCAGTATGACACCAAATTACTAAATGCAACCAAGAAAAAAATGCTACAATGGTCTGTTAGAGCTCTAACCCACCCCATTTCTGTATTTTGCCCTTTGCCACACCCTTCTCTCCCTCACTTCAATATATGAGCAGACTTTCTCAATGGCAACAGGCGCTCTTACATCTCCTTTTAGAGAATGCATTTATTTTATGCTCGTGTCTTCCCCACCTTTCCACAGTCTCCTATCATCTTGAATTTTCTAGTACAACACACTCAGAGCACCTTCCCTCTCTGCCATTCCTCACCATGTCACCATGTGTTCTTGCTGCCACTTCAAATCCTCCTTCTACCCTCTTAACCTTATTCCAGATCAACCTCATCCCTTTACACAGCTTCACTGACTCACAAATCTCTCTTCTCCACTGACCTCTCTCCTGCTGCTCAGCTTCTCATCTGGATCTTTCTGAGCCAATATAAATGCAGACACTCACCTTTCCTCTCATGCCCTCTTCTCCCTGGCTGTCAATGCAAACCATGTACAAAAAACCATCCCAAAAGAATGTCAGAATTGCAAGTAAATACTCGGAAGTTATGAAACACAAGCATCAAAATTTCCTCAGCAAGAAATCTTAATAAACCACTATATAAAATAATAGACATTTTAATAGTTTGTCAGCTGGGAGAGTTGTTCAGAGTCTCCCACAGAAGTTCAGAACAGTCAGAGAACCCCCAGCACACAGACACTGTCCCTTTCAAACAGGTAGGTCTCTGACTGGGTCTATCAGCCCCAGCAGGCTCTAAAACAACTTTTCATATACTCAAATATACATGCAATGCTGGCTAGAAATGATGTTCCGATGTTCTCTAATGACCCATAATCACCAGCACTATAGCAGTCCCACAGCTAGTTGCCCCTCTGGATTTATAGCTTCACTGTCATTTCCACTGGGGCTAAGATCTCTCGTAATTCTACTTTGGCAGCTTCTGAAGAAGTGTCTTTGTTTGATACTTGGAAAGTGGGGTTATGAGCATCTTTCTTCTGCTACCAGAATGAGAAGACAGCCCCTGCTACATTTTGCCATCTTTTCCTCTCTCCCTTTAGTCTGCATTAGGAGAAATGAGAGATCTTGATGAACACTGACCTTCCCTCACAAAATTCATACAAGCACCAGAAACCATTAGAAATAATCCCATATATGCCTGAAAACCTGCTCATACAAATACCTTCTGATGAGCTCATGCATGTAACAGGCTTTAAGTACTGAACTGTGACTGACACAACTCTGCCAGCTAGAAAGATAAAATCAGAAAAGAGGAAGGAAATGACCTTTAACCTTTTTCCACATCTGCTTTCCACACTGCACTTACATCTCACTGTTTTTAAAAATGCAAGTTGTAGCTACCAAACTTCTGTTTGGTCACCTGCACTACAGGAAAGAAGAAAAGTAAGAGGACCCTGCTTTCAGCAGCCTACCCACTCAGTTTGCTTTAAAACCTACATCATGTAACCAGCAAAAATTCTGAGTTGAGAGTGTCCATTCATGCTGTAACACTGTGAACCATCCTACCAGGAGAAGACACAGGCTCTATCAAGCCTAATAAACTATTCCTCTTTTATTAATCAAACAGCACACTTCAAAACTGAATTCTGTAATACAAACAAGCTTGAAGGATAACACAAAAATGATTGTGAACGCTGGTGTTAGAGTGTATGTCTTTACTCCAAGCCACTATTTTGTGAGACTAAAGGCCAATTACAAGCAATTTGATGTGGGCTTGTAACTGCAGATGTCTTAAAGTTTTGTTTTAAAGAAAATGATTCTACTTATCTCAGAGGGGGAAAAAACCCCAGTATTGCAGTTTGGGGATCTCTTTCTGTATGTATACACACATTTAGTAGCTGTTCTTCCTAGTTATATTACAAGCTATAAGCAGTCTTGCTGCATCCACAATTAATAAGTGAATTCAAAACTGGCAAAAGGCTCACACGAGGCTGTCTGCCTCACAGGCAGAACTCTCCATCTAAAACCTACACAGAGAAGGTCCAAGGCTGTAAACAGGTTTGGAAATCACTAGCAAGTGACATGTTAACCAAACAATCACTGTCACTGTGACTACTAAAGCATTTGCTTAGTTAATCTTCTAATTCAAAGTTAGGACAGGGTCATGAATAGTTTTCATGAGTATTTTTCAGCTGAGATCCTCCAGAAAGCTAATGAACCACTATTATTCTGTTTTCACCATGCTTTGCACAGTTACCAAACTGCAACAAAACAAGTGTGTTGCATAACAAGTTGAGTCATACTATTGTTTTCAAAGCAGATAAACTTTGCATTTATTCTTTGTGTGCACCTGTCTCTAGTAATTTAATCTAGGGGTTTGATGGTATATTGTAACTTCCTACCACTGCCATGGCATTCTAAATGAAAAATCATTTAACATATTTCTCTTGTTTATAAACTTCCCCCGGGTACTGACCACTGATCGACTTCAAAACATGAACAAATGCTAATTTTAATTATTGCTAGAAACTGACCAATAAAAGCACTAATATTTCAACACAAATGCACTTTTTGAATTAATGGAAAAGGATGATGACATTTTGTTCTTAGAAGTCTTTAGTGAGTTGGGAAGTTTACTCTGAAAAATACCACAACAACATCTCATAATTCAGAAGTTCTGAGAACTAACACCCCTTAAAAGCCACCCAGCTGTGTACACCACACGAGAAACTTGCAGTAATCCTCTTGAAAATTCAGCCTAACCCTATGTCCAGATCAACGAGTGTTACGATCCTGCAATCCTGAAAGGCAACTGGAGTTGAGGGCACTTGGCACGGTCTCAGTAGCACTCAGCACTGTGTGATCATAATGCAGTTCAGGCTAATGCGCTGAATGAACACACAAACAAAACAGGCTGAAGCAGAGCTATTTTAAGACTTGTACTTAGAAAACCTGTAAACCAGCAAAAAGAAGCTTTACAAACTACTTGTATTTAAGACCGTGAAGGGGTTAGAAAGAACAAAGAACCAAGAAGAGTTTCACTTGTAGTTTCAGGTGGGTAATGTTGCAGAGGTTGTGTGGAGGTGAAGATAAAGCTATTTTAAGTCTGAGGAGAGGAGGAGAGTGCAGAGTTACAGAGCTGACAAAACTGTACAGTGCTTTGAAAGGGAAGATTTTGGAGTTTGCCTTTAAAATGAGAATGCTGTGTACACATGGTGATAAGGGCGTAACAGGGAATTTGGAAAAAGATGGATAGTCCAGATCTGGTCAGATTGAGCTGGCAGAGCAGGAAAATAGGTAAGATGAAATACCAAAATCCCAAGCTGGAAAAAGGACTAAAAAAAGAACAAGACTGAGGATGCAGGTAGTTTTGGAAGATAACAAAACAAACACATACCATGACAACATGCAAATGGCAATATACTTAATTAAGAAGTCATGAATGCATGGCATGATTTTCATGCAAATAACTGAAGAATTTTAAGTCTGATTTCTCAAAATAACACAAGACTTAATTATGCAAGAAGGGAGATGTAGAAGAAAAGGCAAGAAATTAGTTTTTGAGAACTAGGCAATCAGTAACAGGATATATACCACCTAACATTTAAAGCATAGAGAAAGAGGAAAAATTAATGTAAACAATGCATATAAAGCACATTTACACATCTGACAGAAGGAATAAAGCACATGTATGACTAAAGCAGAGCTAGACATATTCCGAGAAAGCACTGTTTGGATTAGAACCATAAAAAATATGATGGAACAAACTGTGAGATAAGTGACCAGCAGATATCTTAAGTACGTTTGGTAAACAAACTCAGAGATAGGATGATTGAATTATTCTACAGGTACAGACAACATGCTTGGGGGCAATGGAAGGGTGTAAAAATGGGTCTGCAATGGAAGCTTAAGTGTAACAAGAAATAAAGCATACACTAAGAAGGCAAACTTGAGTAAAGAACATATGAATTGAAGAACAGACCATTGATTAGTAAGTTGCACACAACCATCTGAACGTACACACACAAAAGATATAGTGAGGAACTATGTAATTTCAGGCAGAAGAATGATTATTAGCTATAATAAAGTCATTTATCAAGGGTGTAAGTGGTTACAAACAAGTATTAGAGATACATGTTAAGAACAGGGTCAGGGCAACTTATGCCATAGGAGTTATTTCAGTAGATGTGAATGCCTTGGGAGAGTGAAAGGAAAGAAAAAGTTAGCATACAGTACTGGAAATGTTAGAGCAACAGCGCATGCTTGTAATTTATCAATGTGCTCTCATTTCCTACTTATATGAGGTACAGAATGATGACACAGATAGGCTGACAAGTGTACTGTCTGCTCTACATCAAAGTGAACGTACAGAAGGAGAAGATGGGGTATCTGTATGCACAGATAAAGCCGCAGAGGCACACAGGAGCATGGGCCAGCACTGTATACAGCGTGTGACCTCTGGGGCGCAAAGGGAAGGGTGGATGACAGTCGGAGTGCGCACACACGCCAAAGCAAAGCGGTAGAACAGGCGCAGGGACACGCCTGCAGACAGGTGTGCAATGACAACAGCTGGCCAGCCACGGCCGAGCGCCAGGGCAGAAGGAGAAGCAGCGGGGACACGGGCTCGCAGGGAGCCGGCGGCAAACCCTGCCGGGAGCCTGCCCGTGCCAGAAGGCGGGAAGCCATGGCAGGAAGGCGGGCTGTGCGGCAGCAAAACATGGCAGGCAGTGTGCCCACACTCCGGGGAGCGCCCGAGCGGCGATGCCGGAGCGGGCAGGGCCGGAGCGGAGCGCGGAGCCCGGCGAGGCGGGAGCCCACGCAGCCCCCGGCACAGGGGCCGGCCGCCGCAGCCCGCAACCCGCAGCCGGGCCGGCGGCGGGAGGAGGCGGGAGAGCAGCACCCGTAGCGGCATGGCACGGCCCGGGCGCCCCGAAAGGCTTCTTGCCGCCGTCCAGGACAGCCGCGGAGAGAACGGGGCTCACCTCGCGGCCGCTCCACTCACCCTTCGCTAGGAGCCTCCTCCTCGGCCATGGCGGCGGCGCGGTGGTCGGCAGCTGACAGCGGCGGAGGGGCGGCGGTGGCGGTGGCCGGCAGCGCAGCGAGGGACAGCGCAACGGCGGCGGCACCAGCCATCACGGGCTCCTCCCTCTCTTACTCCCTCCCTCCTGCCCGCCCTCCGGCTGCGTCATCCCCGTGGGGCCGCCCACAGCCCCGAGCGCCGCCGTGCGCGGCCTGGCAGCGCCCGCAGCGCCGCGGGCGGACCCCGGGGTGTGTGTGTGGGCGCATGGGTGCCCCTCAAACGGGAGCGGGTCCCGGGCGCTCCCCAGCCGCCCGCCAGCGGCATGGCTGGAGCAAGGCTCCCGTTGGTTGGCTCCTGATCCCGGGATGGCGGCACAGATGACGCCGGTGCAGAAGGGCCGCGTCTTCCCGGGCGCGCAGAGGGGCGTCCCTGCCCCGTGAGTGTGGGCTCACGGTGCATGTGTGTGTAGCCTGCACTGTGCACACTGTACACTGTGCAGACATAACTGCGTACACACCGTACACACTGGGCATAATGTGCATGGCTACCGCACTGTTTTCCCACCGAGCGGTGCGTAGGGGGGGCACAACAACGGGCAGTGGCATTGGAGAGGTGTCAAAGCCCCCGAGCCAGCACACAGCTGACAAGTAAAGCAGGGGAGGGAGCAGAACCCAAACTAAAGCCTCAGCTCCCCCGCAGACATTCCTTTGGCCCACTCGCTCAGCAAGGCCTGCAAAGAGGGCAGCAGGGCTAGCCTGCACTAGGTGTTCCAGGTTATAATGTTTGTTTTTACGTATAAAAAGGAGTTCTGGATGCAACTTAAGTATTAACTGTCCCTAAGACGATTCCAAGTAGAATACCTATTGCGACTGTCATTTTCAAGTGTTTTGATAGACTTAAGTGCAGCCGTGCCTATGGGGAGGAGAATGCTGGGGTGTGCTTGTTTTAGACAGCATTTGGCCTCATAATATTTGTTGTGTTATTGCTCAGCTGCATAAGAACTGCATTTGTGTTAGGCAATCAACAAACCTTAATTGAAACAAAGCAGCAAAGTGCAGCAAGTGGAAGGAGTGGCGAGAAGATTTTAAGTCTTGCGTTTCTTCTGAATTTTGTCACTGACCTCTAAAGCTGTTTTTAGAAAAACAAATGGGATGATAATTACTGTTTCTTTTGGTTTCTGAAATCCTTTGATAAAAAGTATAAGATGAATTTGGTAATAGCTGAAATAATTCTCAGCTAAAACCATTCTGCAATTTAACAACAGTGATTGTTGAGATTACACAACCTCAGCTGAAGTTTGTTTGGCTGTGTCACAATGGTTTGGCAATATGATATTTTTCTCAGGAGAGTGTATTTATTTTTATTATTGCTCTGAAAATTTTTATTTACAAGAAAAGTGACTGTCAGTGTGTATAGAACTATATGATTGCTGGCAAAGGTTTGCAAAGATGGTTGCTAAAATTTGCAAACAGCCTGAAACAATAGTTCTGAATGCTATTATTTTATTTCTTTCTAATTTCAATGGAATAGTAAGTTTAAAACCTCATAAATGAAATTTACATCCTACTTACGGAATGTGCAAGTGTTCAGACACAATTATCTCTGTGGTTTTAATTCAGTGGTGCTCACCCGAACAGTAATTGGTTGCACTTGTTTAAGAGTATACTTGTACAAGCAGCCTACTCCCGCTTAGCAGTCCTTCTTTCTCTTACTGAGGAATGACTCCGTTTCTTTAGAGCTGATTTGATTATGTGGATAAATCAGCTGGATTTCTGTGTGTGAAGAAATTACTGTGATAATGCTGGTAGAAAAAGACAGTTGTGCATCAGTTGGCTAATGTTGCAGTGGAGTGTCAATGAATAAGTACAGCTGTATTATAATGGGAAGCAAAGAGTTCAGATGAATTTTTCCATTTTTGTTTTTCAAAAAAAATTCTGGACACTGAAAATATCTCAAAGGCAATGGTCCCTGCTACTGTTTAATCTGTCACTTTTCTGCATTGATGTTTGGTGAGGCTTTTGTCTGGCCCTCATTACTGAATTAGTTCACTACCATTCTATGTAATAAGTGGTATGTTAACCATGAGTGAGCTACTTCTCCAGACAGCAGCAGTTGCAGTTTGCAGCTTGCTAAAATCAGTCTGAGCAACAAACTGCAGAGGGGGTTGACTTAGCCAAGTATTACAGACTAAGACTGTTTAAACATGTTTATATGAAAGCAAGGTCATTTATTATGCCTGCTCTTATTTTGACATTTTGTGGGGCCTCGGAATAGTAGAGAGAAAGCAAAATAAAAGTGATTGGTTTCTGCAAATGAACCTGTTTGTGATGGCAGGAGGACCTTGGAGCCCTGGGAGAATGCCCCTGGGATCTCATGTCCATATATTGCTGTCACTGGAGGTCTGACTTCCTCTGCTGTGCTCCTTCAGGACAAAAGGCTGTTTGTCAGCTGCATCAGGAACTGGAGGTGCAGGAATTGGAGTTAGCTGTGGCTAAGCCTAAGCAGAAGCCCAAATAGCACTGGAAGATGTAAGTTAGGAATTCTGCCCAGAGTCCTGTTGGCTGTGTTTCTCTGGGGAGGGCTCTTTGTGTTAACTGAGGTGTGGGAGGAATCCTGGCATTAACTGAGCTTCTGCCTGGTTCTGGACCTCAGTACTATGGCAGCAGGATGTTTCAGCCTTGGCTAAGTCATTGAAGAAACAAAAAGTCCTGACTGTGTCAGTTTTCAGTGGAGTCTGGAGACCCATACTGTTGGGCCCTCTCAGACCCCAGTTGTCCACAGGGCCACGGCAGCCCTGGACAGCTCATTCAACTTCTGATCTGTCCTACTGCTTTGTGAACTCTGTGCTCCCCTCCAAACTGGAGTGGCAGTTTGAGACCAATGGCAACATGCTTGTTGTGTTCCTAGTGTGTCTGCTCCATGTCTTCCTGTTTCCTAGACATATGTGGGTGTAGACAGAGTTCTAAATGAGTATAGGTTGACCAAGAATTGTTCAATACTTGGAGATCCTTCTTCACATTCACTTTGCCAACATCTTCCTACCAACATGTCTGCCTGTGGCGAGGATAAGGAGGCTATTTTTACAGATTCCCAAACTCCTGGAAGCTTTGAGGGATGTTGGTGACATGGGAGGCCCTCCTTGAAGCAAGGCTAGTGCTTCACTGTGTTCCTTGTTCCCAAGGCCTGCCTTACATGGGAAAGCAGTCTGTCTCAGCCTCTTGTCCTTTCACATCCTTGCTGTACAGGAGGGCAAGCTTTCTTGTGCTCCTTCCAGGACTCATGTCTGATCCCACTGTGGGAGCAGGCTGTCTGTGAACTGGGAAATCGATACACGGTGGCCGCGACTGTAAGGGGCCAGTCCTGGACTGAATATTTGGGGCAAACCAGAGTCTGTGAATTTTGGCACTTGAACAAAAGAGGTATAGTTGAAGAGAATTGTAAGAAAAGTTTTGCTGGTTTCTTCACCATGATCATGTGATGGGAGTAAAGAACAGAGCAGTCCTGACTGAGCTGCTGTTCACATCATCTCAGAGGGGGTTTGCATTCATAGCCTCTGTCCGCCCTATAGGCAACATTTTGAAAACGTGCCCATGGCAGTTGCAGTAGAAAGTTGAGTAACTGTGTGCAAGAGTCAGCTACGAGAAGGCCAGGAGAAGTTTAAGTGCTCAAGGAGTGAGTGAACTGCAAAGAGGGGGCCTAGATACATATTTATTAATATATCAGTATATTCAGCAGCTGAGGCTGTGACAGGCTGTGTTGCTAGGCAGAACTTCCATCTTGTCATGCTTGGCTATTCCAGAGTTCATGACTCACACCTGACTAACCTAAAATTCCCTCCTAGACACAGGAGTGGCTGTGGAGAGACAAGGTCTCATGTTTTCAGGTGGGTGAGAGGGTGACTGTGTCTGTCTGGGTCATACATGGTCGCTGTGAAGAACCCATGACGATGAGACATTTGCTGCATGACACAGGGCGTGTAATTTAAGCAGTGTCCCTGTGTCACGACCTTCTTGTTTCCTCTCCCTCGCCTGTCAATACCTACATGAACTGGAGATAACTGAGCCTTCCAGATTTTCTGGAGAAGTCAACGCAGAGCAGTAAGGCTATTCTAGTTTTGATTACATCCACAAAGAAGCAAGTACCTGAAAAGGTCAGGGTAAGCATTAGTTGAGACTGTACATGACATAGTAGAGTGTTGAGAGATTAGTGATCTGCAGGAACAAGGAGTTTCCCCACAAGGAGACCCCACAGGAGTTGGAAGGCAGTTTTCAATGAACTTGGGAGTTAAGAAACCAGCTTGGCAAAGTCACTCAAACTGGAGAGACAAACCTACAGGGAAGCAGAAAGTAAGTTAGCTTTTATGTTGGTTGTTAGGGCTGACAATAAAAGTACAACAGAAGCATGTGAGAACAAAATCAGAAGGACAAGCATGAGATGAAATGCAACAAGGGCTGACAATAAAAGTACAACAGAAGCATGTGAGAACAAAATCAGGACAAGCATGAGATGAAATGCAACTAGCGAGCAAAATAAAACCCCCACATCACTCCAGAAGCTCATTAATTGTGTGAAATAGAAAGTGTACTCTAATTGTGAAGTGAGAAGACTAAAAGGTGTCAGGAATGCAGTACCTTCTAGATTTCACTATCTAAGGTAGTAAAATAATGAAATTAATGCATTAGTGAGGTGCATTTTCAGTTAAGAAAAGGGTAGAATGTTTAAGCCACGTATTTTCAAATCAGCCTGAATTCTCTCTTTAATTATGTCCTAGAGTATTTAAAGCTCTTGCTAACAGAATCCCAGTGTCAGTAATCAACATATTTGAGAAGCTATGGATGCTAGGTAGGATAGAGGGAGGCTGTAAAGTGACAAGCCTGGTGGAGAGAGGAAGGAGAAAAAAAAGTATGACATTATTAAGCAAATTAATTTTTCTAGAAAAATAGTGAAAAATGTATTTGTACATTCCTGAAAGATAATATAGGGATGAGTAACTGGCAACAAGAACTCACATCTTAGAAATCTAATTGCCCTTACAACCACATGACATACCTTATGGATAGAGAAGAGCTCTAGATCCAATATGTCTTGATTTTCAGAGAACTTTTTATGTGCTGCCCATATGGAATGTGTGTTCT